GTAAAATATATTTCAGTATTATTTTCAGACAATCAATATTATATCTAACAATACAGCATATATCAACGTACATCGGGTCTGCATATGAATCAGATGAGGGCATATCGACCAACCGACCAGAAGGTACTAAACCACAAATAAACATGGACACACCCTAACCCCATACCAATACATGGAAAGCATGTTCTTCAAAGGGAAGTGTCATACAACGTGGGTCTTCTATTTGTAGCTAAACCAATCATTGCTAACAGTAATAACAACATTGTACACAGCTAAGATCAGTGCAAACAGCAGTGAAAAGAAGTTGGATCAGGCAAGACACAAGTTTTTGAACAAACAAACAAGAGAATACAGACTTCTCACCCAAACTGCAGTTGTGCACACAGTTTTCATCTCAAATGAGGGATTATTAACAACATTTTGGCTGCACTCACTCAGTTTTACTCACATTTATTGTAGTTATGTCTCAGTGTTCCCAGAGCTCAGCAATGACTTTGGTGAGAACAATATTCAAACTTATAGAAAGGCCAAATCTATGAAAAGACCTAAATAGGGCGCCCTGTTAGCTCACCTGGTAGAGCTGGCCTTCCTGCAGCGACCTGTGGCCCTTTACTACGTGTCTTTCCTGTCTATCTTGAGCCGTCCTGTCCAATTGTAATGTTTTCCTTAAAACCATTGTGTGTTTCACAGGTTCACGTTCCCCAGCTCGGGTATGTTCAAGTGTTCTCTGACTGAGCTGGTGTTTAATGTGACTCACGAGGGGGAGGTCAAGTACAAGGCTTTGATCTGGGATACAATGATGCTCAAAGGTACCAAGGTACCTGGAGGACTGCTGTTCGACATCAAGTGTCCTCAGGAGTCCATCTGTCAGCTGCACCTCCCACACTGTGAACCTGAACCTGGTAAGAACACTACTGAGCTTTGTGACTACCTATCAGATTAACAGAAGATAGCATTTCCTTTTTTGTACCCAAAGTTGGCAGTTGTGGTTCGACATGGAAATAACATGAAACCTTTTATGGGGCTGATTTTGGATGCTTCTGCGTACTCACAGCACTGGTCTCCGAAAGCCTCTCTGTCGTCCACATCACTGATGACGGCATGACCATCATAAAGCCGCAGGTGATTACCGAAACCCACGTGGTCGTAGACACCCCTACCCTCTCTGCCTTTGGCATCGTATGGGATCTCATCAAGAGATTTAAGAATTTTATGACGAAACCACTGAGAGCCCAAGTGCTGCTGTTCATGCGACCGCCATACCGAAGTGGGAAGCTCATCCTCAGTGTGATTCTGCTACCGCTCAACGTACCTCTGCAGGAGGTAAAACCCTGTCATACCATTGTTCAAACTCTTCTGGCACTGTACACTATCTGCTTGTTACCCTAGTAGGCCCTCTTGTGGCCACTCACTGTAATGTCCTCATATATCAAGAAAGTAAGACTGAACAGATTCACATATTTTTAAATTGGACAGATAAGTCTTAAAACCTTCTAACAAAATGTTCTGATATCACTGAAGGTAAAAGTGCAACATGAGGATTGTGAGTACGCCCAGGTCCCGTCCCACTGTCTCCTCCACATGGGCAAATATTACAGCCTCAAAAGTAACCGAGAGGAACATAAAATCCAGCCTGCAGTGAGTATCAGACACAACTTCTGCTGCCAGCGAATGTATGTCTGAAAGCAGTCCGTCTGCAAAATGACGTGTGTACATTTTGTTTCAGCGTGCAGATTTTTTTGATAATTACGGACCAAATTACCACGCAACCTTTGAGATCAACCTGACGGTGACCACTCCGGAGGTGACTATGATGGTGCAAGATCCAGACAAGATGAACGTCTGGGAGCATGAGGTTCATCTGCGCTGTAAGGACCGCGTCACTCAGAGGTTTTCAGACTGTGATGGGGGGGAGACGTCAGGCAACTGCACAATTAGAGAGAGTTAAAATTTATTAGAACACAGACATAATACGCATATTTTTTAGATTAGTATCAGCTTAGAAATCCTTCTAACTCCAGTATGTTATATATAAGTGATGCTGTGGTAGCCAGCTATTACAGGAAATTTCTGATCCTCTTTATAAATGACAGTATTGAGTATAGTTCACTGCTAATTGGCAGTGCTCAAAACCCAATGCACAATTGCTGTAGTTACTATGGGTGTGCATCTCTCCCTTCTGAGATGATCTGATGCGTATCTAGATACATGGGCTATGATACGATTCAGGGACGATGCATTCTAATATGGAACAATTGGATGCGATACAATGCAATCTGATACACTTCTTAATATTCCTTTAATGTAGACAGTCATTTCTGAAAAATACAGTTAAAATTAAAATATCAGGAGAGGGGCAAGAGGGAGGTTGGGCATAAGCGAGGCAGTGGGAAGAAAATGCATGTAGAGCACCAATATTTTCACATATAACTCAGGGTTTTTATCAACCAAACCAAAGTGGGTGATTGTTGGAACAGTGGAAAGAGAAACCTAGACATTTTGGTGAGTTTAATTTTTGTTTTTGTCAAGTGTTGAGATGTTATGAGTTAAAAGGATCTTACTCTTTCACAATAAGGTCTGTCTCTGTAAGCCCTACAATGATAATGTTATTGTAGAATAACAATCTGATTTGTTGAATCAAATAATTTTTCCAGGTTTATCTACATATCTGGCTCCATTGGGAAAACTGCCAATGATAAGCAGTGACGTCTCAGCAGAAGAGAAGCTAAGAATCGCCCGGTCACCCTTCATCGACAGAGTGTCTTATCCTGTTCTGAACGTAATGCTGGATCAACTTCTGAGCCACAGGGTCATAAATGATGCTGAGTTCGAGGCAACCATAGTAAAAAACAGAGCAGACAAAGCTCGAGACCTCATCGACATGGTGCGAAAGAAAGGCGCAGAAGCAAGTTTGATCATGATCACAGTCTTCTCTAGCAACGATCCGTTCCTTTGCAACGAGATCGGCTTAAAGGCAAGGGAAATCTGTGATGATGAGTATTGATCATACGCTGCTGTGGTAATCCTCATCCTTTAAAACACACAAAGCAACCAAAATTAGGTTGAGTAGCTTAAGTTAAAGAAGCTAAGAATGCAGCAACCTGGTCAGAAAAAGGGAAATTGAAACATTGCGTGCGCCTTTATGTTTTATGTGTTAAATAAAGTAGTATCCTCTTTTGGCCTCAGAGGAGCAATTTTGAATCAAACGTTGAGGAAGTGAACTGCACTGGATACAGTGACCGTTTACATGCACAAAGTATTTAGTTTTTTGCCCTTGTTCCAAACAAGACAATATTCTTACTAAGGTGTTCACATTCCACTAATATTAATATATTAACCTAACTCTGTCCTCTTTTTCAAACTGCAGTCATGTTGCTCTCATGGTAAAAGTGGAACAACAGCTTGAGCCATTTTGCCTCCTTGCATCAAAAGAGGATTTTTCCGGGGCACACACTAGTCCTTACCGCAGTGGCCTGAGTTCGATTCCAACCTGTGGCCGTTAGCTGCAAGTGGCCCACCTCTTTCTCTCGGCCCTTTTCTGTCAATTTTCACCTGTCCTGTCAAATAAAGGCATACAAAGCACAAAGACCTGTGACCTGTTCGACCATGTGAACAGAGCTTCCCTCTTTCATTAGTTCGACCACTTTCTTGAAAAGTTCAGCGTTGCAACATTTACATATATCCAAAAACCTGTTGATATACAGGTCACTCAGTGTTTAAAAGTAGGTTTTTCTCCGATCAGAAAGGTGGCCCTTTTTTTTTTTTGTGCATGCATCTCTACTCCAGCCTTCCAAACTGTTGGCTAGTTGTGTGTTTACAACACAGAGCTGGGTTCTCAGGAGGTAGAGCGGGTTGTCCACTATTCGGAAGGTTGGCGGTTCCATCCCCGGCTCCTCCTGTTGCATGTCAAAGTGTCCTTGAGCAAGATACTAAACCCCAAATTGCTCCTGTGAATGTGCATCATTGTATGACGCACGTATGGCGCAAACTGTGGTAGAACCCCCAAATGAGAGACACATTCCCAATGTGCTGCATACGTGTCCAAAGAATGCTCCTAAAACCTGAATAGGAATATCCCACACGTCTTAATCTGAAAATGTGCCATTCGGAATAAGGCCTAATTAGGAATATCCAAACGGGCTATTCTGTTTATGTGACCCTCATCAGATGTGGAATATTGTCATATTTGGAATAGTAGTGTATCTTTAAGCTTCATTTTTATCTTAAAATCACAATTCTTCTGTAGATTGTAATTGTAGTGTGTGTGTGTGTGTGGGGGGGGGGTCAGATGCTCTTTGTGGCTGTAGAACAGGACTTTTAATCAGTTTACGGTATGAATAGATGTTGGGTGCCTTCCCATTGTACTAATTATGCTTCCTCCTGTCCTCCATAGACGTTTTTCATTAGTATAAACACCCCACTGATGGTGTGGGTCACTACTGCCTGCAGTACAGTGTATAGTGTTAATCATTCTCTTCCTATTTTCCATTCCAAGTGTCTTTTAAAACATTCATTTGATTGTATTGATCTCTCATGTCCAATGTTTTGTTTTTGTTTTAAACTTATTTAAATTGTTTATTAGTATGATGTCCATCTATAATACATGCAGGGCCATAACTGTGATTTTACAAGTACTTCAGTGCAACCCCACCTGCCCAAAGAAAGTTTTACTAATCAATTAAAGTCTGTCAATTTAGCTGCTTCCACTTTGTCAATATTATTTGGACTGTTAAAATACATTTTCTGCACATTTTATATCACTATGCAATTTTCTAGAAGCTTTTTGTTATTTTCTTGAGTTATGAGAGTCTGGCTTGAAAAGCACTTAACTCCTTTTAGGAGAAGTTGTTTCACCTGACCCTTGGTGTTGTGTAAACTCTGATATATTCAGTACACTTTTTGGGGATAAATGAATAAATAATTTAAAAATCAGATATGGTCAGTATTTCTGTTACATTGTAATTTTGTCATTAAACAGCATGAATTGAACCTCCGGGCCTAACAGTGTTCTGCTCAAGAGAAGTGAGCAATGAAATTGCAGAACCTGTCGTCTCTCATATGTGTATTTTTTTTTTAAGGCAAGATGGACACTTTAGTCAACTTAAGGTGAGCAGGAGCCATAGTTGGTGTAACTGAACATCGCTGTGACAAAACTGTGGTTCCCAACCTTTCCTTAAAGAAGCCCTTTATATTCTTTATTTACTCAGTGACATATTTTATGGATATTTTATGTTCTATTAAAAACTGTACAATGAACCCAAACAGTGAGCTCAGTAACAGCTAGTTTGTGTAAAATTAGTGATTTTGACTTTTTATACTATATACTCTATATTATGTACTTTTTTGAAAGGCTGTTTCCTTGTCCCTGATGTTTGGCCATTGTTCTATCAGCATTTACTTTTCTTCAGAATCAGAATTAGGTTTATTGCCAGGTAGGTTTTTACATATGAGGAATTTGTCTTGGTGCATAAAATATACAAATCACACAAAAATCTCTACTTTTGTTGTCTTTAATAACCCATTACCTTAACCAACACAGTTTAATGGTGCTATGAATCTGTGCTGATGTCTTTAAACTACTTTTTATCATTTTTTGGACTCTTAGGTGGAACTACTAACAACTTTGTATCTTAAAAACTTATATGTAAAAGCTGCAACAATTAACCGATTGATTGATTAGTTAATCGACAAAAACATTAAATGGCAACTGTCCTGATATTCAATTCATCATTTAAGTTCTAGCTTCTCTAATGTGAGGATTTGCTGTGAGGTTTTATTGGCCTGTGATGAGCTAAATGTTCATATTGTTTGGACTTTTTGTCAGACAATAGACGTTTTTCACAGCAGCCATTTTGTCATGAAATAGTAGGGTAAGTATATAAAACAAGTTGAATATGGCGAGCTTTGGAAATCTTCATGGGCATTTTTTACTATTTGCTGACATTTCATGGACCAAAAATAGTTGCTGTCTTAATCTTTTTATATGTAAGTAAAGTACCTCAAATATTTAAACTACAGTACATGAGCAGTGTTGGGGAGGAGTGAACTACATGTAAATAAACTAGTAGTTTAACTCCATATTGCAGTAGCTTGTTGGTAGTTCAACTACATTTTTACACAGAGATTCAAGTAGTTAAATAACTTCTTTGACATTTTTTGTAGTTTTTATTTTACCATTGTTTATTGTTTAATTGAACTCCCTTTGGCCTGTCCCAGCAGGCCAACAGCATTATAAGTTACACTGCGGATGTTGGAAAGCTTACATTGTAAATGTACACATTGAGCACACACAAAGCAACATCTGCATTCATTTCCTGCTCTGTTTCTGGTTAGCTGGTTTATCTGGTCTTAACCAGCTACTTGCTAACTTTATCATTTATTGGTTTGGTGCAGGGCAGGTGGCATACAGTGGTTTCACTGGGACCTGTGGAGATGGGACAGAATATACAGAAAGAGAAAGATAGTATGTTATATAAAACACAGTATGTATGTTATTTGTTATTATGTGCAGTGTGTGTACTGACCTCAGTGTAGAGTGGATGGAGCAGCCGTCTCTCTCTCT